TTGAAAATCCTGAAAAAACAAAAACCTGCAACCAAGAATACTCTATACAGCAAGGCTGTGATTCAGAATAGAAAGAGAGATAAAGAGTTTTCCGGACAAACAGAAATTAAAGGAATTCATCACCGCTAAACTAGCCCTATAAGAAATGTTAAAGGACAGAAATGTTTCCTTTCCTTTGTCTGGAAAGAAAGACCATAAGTAGTAGGAATAAGAAAAATAGGAAAAGCAATAAAAATAAGTATATCTGTAAAAATCAGTCAAGGAACTGACAAAATTAAAGATATAAAATGTGACACCATATACCTAAAACATGGTGGGAAGGAGTGAGGAATAAAGTATGGGGTCAAACTTAAGTGACCACCAATTTAAAGATTGCTAAATGCATAAGATATTAAATATAAACCTAATGGTAACTACAAATCACAAACTGGTAGTAGATATCCAAAAAATAAAAGAGAAAGGAATCCAAGTATATCACTAAAGAAGGCCAGCAAATTGTGAGAGAAGAGAGCAAGGGACGAAAGGAACAGAGAACTACAAAACAACCATAAACAAGTAACAAAATGACAGTAAGTACCTATCTATCAGTATTTACTTAGAATGCAAATGGACTAAATGTTCCAATCAAAAGACATAGAGAGATGGAATGGATAAAAAAACAAGGCCCATTATATGTTTGCTACAACAGACTCATTTCAGACCTAGAAACACCTGCAGATTGAAAGTGAAAGGTAGAAAAGCATTTATCATGCAAATGGAAATGAAGAGCCAGGGTAGCAATAGTTATATTGGACAAAATAGACTTTAAAACAAAGACTGTTAACAAGAGACAAAGAAGTACACTATATAATCATAAAGGGAACAGTCCAACAAGAGGGTATGATAATTATAGGGGTGCCTGGGTGGCTCAGTGGTTAAGCATCTGACTTTGGCTCAGGTCATGATCTCATGGTTTGTGAGTTCAAGCTCTGCGTTGGGCTCTTTGCTGACAGCTCAGAACATGCAGCCTGTTTCAGATTCTATGTCTTCCTCTCTCTCTGCCCCTCCCCCACTTGTGCTCTGTCTTTCTCTGTCAAAAATAAACAAACATTAAAAAAATTAAAAACGAAGATATAACAATTGTATATATTTCTGCACCTTTCTACATAAAGTAGCTGATAACAACCATAAGTGAAGTAATTGATAGTAATGCAATAATAGGGGACTTTAACAACCCATTATATTAAGGGATAGATCATACAAACAGAAAATCAACAAGGAAACAGTGACTTTGAATGACACACCAGACCAGATGGATCTAAAAGATACATTCAGAACATTCTATCCTAAAACAGAAGAACACATATTCTTTTTTTTTTTTACACATATTCTTTTCAAGTGCACATGGAGAATTCTGCAGAATAGGTTACATATTAGACCATAAAAAAAGTCTCAACAGATTCAGAAAGATTGAAGTCATACCATGCATCTTTTCTGACTACAATGCTATGAAACTAGGAATCAACAACAACAAAAAACCTGGAAAGAATACAAATACATGGAGGTCAAATAACATGCCATTAAATGATGAATGGGTCAACCAAGAAATGAAAGAGGAAATCAGAAAAACTCATGGATATAAATGAAAATGAAAACACAACAGTCCAAAATCCTTGGGATGCAGCAAAAGCTTTCTAAGAGGGAGGTTTTGAGCAGTACAGGCCTACCTCAAGAAACAAGAAACATCTCAAATAAACAACGTAACCTTATACCTAGGAGAGCTAGAAAAGAACAAACAAAACCCAAAACTAGTAGAAGGAAAGAAGTAAAGATTAGAGCAGATAAAATGAAATAGAAACTAAGAAGACAGCAGAACAGATGAATGAAACTGGGACCTGGTTCTTTGAAAAGATCTAAAAATTGATAAACTGTTAGCAAGACTCCAGAAGAAAGGACTCAAACAAAAACAGAAGTGAATAACCACTGACACCATAGAAATACAAAGGATTATAAGAAAATATTATGAAAAATTATATGCCAACAATTTGGGCAATCTAGAAGAAATGGATAAATATATAACCTCCCCAAACTGAGTCAGGAAGAAATGGAAAATTTGAACAGACCAGTTAGCAACAATGAAATTGAGTCAGTAATTAAGAAAAAAAAACAACAAAAAACAAACAAAACCCTCCCAACAAACAAGTCCAGGACCAGACAGCTTCATGGGTGAAATCTAACATCTAAAAAATAATTAATACCTATTCTTCTCAAACTGTTCTAAACAAGAAAAAGGAAAGCTTTCAAACTCATTCTATTAGGCCAGCAATACCCTGAATCAAAACCAGATAAAGACAGTACTGGAAAAGAGAACTACAGGTCAATATCTCTGATAAATATAGATGCAAAATCTCAACAAAATATTAACAAAGCAAATTCAGCAGTATATTAAAAAAATTATTTGCCGGGGCGCCTGGGTGGCGCAGTCGGTTAAGCGTCCGACTTCAGCCAGGTCACGATCTCGCGGTCCGGGAGTTCGAGCCCCGCGTCAGGCTCTGGGCTGATGGCTCGGAGCCTGGAGCCTGTTTCCGATTCTGTGTCTCCCTCTCTCTCTGCCCCTCCCCCGTTCATGCTCTGTCTCTCTCTGTCCCAAAAATAAATAAACGTTGAAAAAAAAAAA